GCGCCGGCAATATAATAATTAATATAATAATTCGAAGCAGCGATATGCAGATATTTATTGATTATAATAAGTGAATCTATTGTAGTTATGATAATCAGTACCAGAAGAAATAGCGTACGTGCTTAAAGGGGTAAAAGTTGGCCGCCATAAAACTGAGTGAATCTAAATCTAGCTGTGTACATTTCCTTACATCAACCGAGAAATTGCACGTCAATACTAATCAATAATATTATAATTCTACTCAAGAAAAGATATAAAGCAAAACAATAAAGTTAGTGAATGGTATGATTACTCTTGAAAGAAGGTAAATTATTTTTTGCTAAATATATACATTGATGAATTGGTGCTCATTGACGAGAATATTGATATGTCTGATGTCAATTCCACAATTTGTTTACAAAATCCTTATTTTGGATTGTAATCCTTTTTCAAAAGGGGTAAATCGCCTGGAGTTCAAGACGCTTAGTTTGAACTTGTATCACGATAGCATTCTCGATTCGGACTGACTGGTGAGTGGGTTTCAAAATTAATTATTGCGTTACATATTAAAGCCTCTGAAATAAGTATCAATTATCACAGAAGGATAATCAGTTTCTTCTATTGTGTATCACAGATTACTTGTATTATCGAATGGATTTAGTAAATAATATTCAAGTCTTGATATTTTTTGTTCACATGATTGTAAACCGATCTTTCTCTTTGAGTGGCCATTTGAACTGATTTTTAAAGATATTTGATAAGGTGAATCACTGCCTGCTATTATCACAATATTTCGAGTTCTCTTATCCATGTATGAGAGCGTAACTGTGTGTGTTCGGTCTCCTCATGGTAAAACTAGTATAACTTCTCTGATGTTTACATGTTTTACGCATGCGTGTTATTTATGCACTTCAAGGAGAGTTCAGCAATCGACTAAATTTCACACAGGGTTTACGCCTATTTTGTGATTAATCATTTGAAAAGGTGAAACACTGTATTTTCGTTGGGCTTGTTGCTAGAAATCTGTGAAGAAAAAAATGCAAGGAAATATGAAACTAAGTAGTATGACGACGGTGTATATGCACATAACAACTGCTTCAGATTTGAACAACAGGTAACATCACATCACGTGAGTTAGACAGCGCATTCAAATCTGTGAAACTCTTTTTCGTAAGGCAACCTAATCTATTTCTGTAAGATCTATATATTCTAAAATGTATGATTGGAAATATCGAAATAAGAAGCTTCATTGGAATTCAACCAATTCAAGAACTAAGACGCATATATTTAAATGAGAATATCAATAGAACCATGCTACTGCAAAGTGGTATACATCTACCTGGTAAACGCATCCAACTAAGACCTACAGCATAACTCATCAAAAGAAAATAGCATCCATGTCCGAATCAGGTATCTACAACTACCTGTTCATGACAGTGTCGTAATCCACGTAATCCACCAGACCTCGAATGCGTCACCGGAAAAGCCTTCATTAAGGAGAAATGGAGGATTGACAATCAACCATCTTCACCAGCCAAGGACCATTTATGAATGGCCGGCTTTAGCGAAACCGTGCGATTTGGACGATGGCAATCAACTTACAGAAATTTAAAACGGGAATAAATTTATATTTATTTATCAATCAAGTTTTATTAACACCAAAACCTTGGGCACGCACGATTTCGGTATTATTTCGCGAGCAACAGAACAGTTCCTTGGACAAAAGCCTGGCAGTCTTTAAATTACAACACATATAATTTTATTGAAACTGTTCAAAACGATGTCTGGATATTAGTATTCATGGATGACAATAAGATAAATTTATCACCCTAGTTCAATCAGAAAACCAAATAGTTATTGTCAACTTATCAAGGTTAATATATGTTTGCATTAAAACCTCCTGATATTGTGGCTCCAGGCGCTTCAAATGTTCCCAGTGATTAAATATAACAATATAATGTGAAAAAACTAGTGTACTAGTAATTTACCGGTGTATGTATATTTATATTACTTCTTTTCTGTGTTTATATTATTGCGTTCTTGGTATCGGTTGTATAGTATGATATGATATTATTAATGTATAAATTTGGCCTGGTGGCCTATTTTATTTGAACAAATTACTTTTTTTAAGGTCGTATAAAAGACCTACTCCATGGGGATTCCAGTCATTAATACATTTAAATCATAGTTCCGTTCACAGTGTACAAATATGAACACATATTTGGTAACTCATTAAATATGGAAAATATGATTATTGAACTGCCTGGACTCAATATTTGTTATCAGGCGGGTTATCAAATACAAAATAAGGCCCCATCCCCCCCGAAATAGTCTGCATGATTTATTTGCATTTTCATGACGTTTGGCACGTGTAGAAAAAAAATCGCAATGATGCCACTATGGTGTCATTGATGGTTTTGAGAAATCCAAGATGGCTGCCAAAACACAAATGAGGCATAACTT